AAACTCCTCCCCAAAACTAGCTATAACTGAAATGGTTTTACTACCAGTCTTTCCTCTTTTCCGTCTCGCTTTCACTCCTGTACGGGTATATTTAATGAACTGAATTATTTTTGCTTAAATTAAATTAATTAATTTTTTTACTTAAATTTAACACGACTATTACACATTAGTTTCGAGTTTGCTTTAATGTCTTTTATTTCAAATTAAGCAGTGGTAAATTAAACAAAGCAAATAATTACTTTCCTAATGGATAGGGCATACATTACGCTAAGTAAACTAAAGTGAAAAATAACATGAAAAAAGCACACATAAAGTTCATAAATGGACATACTATAGTTTTGAGTCTCTAAACAAGAACCTTTCCCAAGGTCTAATCTCTAAATGACGTTAGAAAAGTAGATAAAAAGATTAATTTTGAACAGATTTCCATACATTGGGAAAAGGTGAACCCGTAGAAAGATCATTATCTAAATTATCAAAATTTTTCGAAATATTGAGTGATTCCCAGGAGTTAAGTTCGGTAGATGAAAAGCAGTCTTGATTGATTTAAGCAGAAGAAAACTCAAACCTATGATTAGAATTAAAGTTATTTAAGGTGATGGAAGATTTTCATGATCTTAACAGTATTCTTTAAGTTAAAGTATAAGGTACGGTTATTTTGTTTAATTAACGATACACCACATTGCCGAAACAAATTCGATAAATGCCCGAGCTATGATTATCAGCTATACGGTCTTTAAGATTGGAGAAATTCAGTTTATTTACAAGGGATATCAAATGTAACTTTAAACAGAAATTTAATTAAAAATCATAGCTATTAAGGTACTGATTTTTGGATAATAGGATAAAGCAATCAAATTGTTAAAGTTCGAATCAGAGTTTGTTGGATTGAGAGACAATATAATATTCTATAAACGGTGTCAATAATATTTAGAAGAAAATCCAATATCAACAGTGATCGCCGTTAAGTAAATTCGTTCTTCATTGAAAAGATTAATATTATAACAAATTTTGGAAGCACAGTAAACAAATTTTCACAAGGCCACTATTTTTTTCCTCTTTAGCTTAGTGGAATGGGATGAAAGTATATAAAGAGGGAGCGAAACCACAAAAACTATTTCAAATAAACAGTATTGAAGAGTCAAAGAAATTACGAGTAATAGGAACGTCTAAGAAAGGTAAATGTTTATTATCATCTTGTTCAAACGTTAATTGAATGCACGGATCCGTAGATTTCATAATATCAAGAATTTAATAAATTGTGGCATTGTCAACTATCATCATCATATGGCTTATAAAAAAGGAAATTTAGAACATTAAAGTTTTTCACTTCGAAATAGTGCATGTATTTACTTAAAAAAAGGACTCGAAGGATTATCCATAGCTAAGCCACCACAAGGTTTTTTATAGGTAGTCCGATCGGACCACTATAAAGGTAAACCAGTATACGAAAGAGCCCTTTAATGGAAAATCTATGAAAAATTAGGAAGTGGTAGCAAATATATGTCTAAATTTTTTTTAATTTATGAATATGATTGGTTTGTCTTATTTACTTGTCAACCACTGCAGATTCAATTATCAAATATATATGATGAATTTCTCTCATTCTTGTTTAAAGTAGAATTTGGGTTCATGCGCACAACTGGTTCACTTATTAAATAGTGTGCGTAGATTACTTATAAAAAACCGTGTGGAGGCTTTCTGGTGTAGGAGGTGATGGTTCTGAAAATAATTTCTAGTTTCAATTTTAATTCAAATGAGGAAAAAAGGAGGCAAATTATTTTGAAAGTACAAAATAGAGGATCAGGCATGAGTTAGGTGTAAGAGAATACTTCAAAAAAACATTTTTGATGGTAGATCAAATTTTATTCAACTTATTAGCCCTTGAACTTTTAAGTAATACTTTATGCGTACCTTTACCATTTTTGATATTCCTCTAAACATTTAACTTTGTTTAGAACTATAATTTCACCTCCTTTATCATCTTTAATAATAGCAATCAGCAGGTTACACTAAGATTCCAATTTGAAAGAAAAAAAAAAGCAGTTTTGCTAAGATTTTTGGGAAAAGAGTTGGAATTTAAATAAACAGTTGGAGCAATCAAATATCTGATTGATTCTTTTTGTAAGGTATTGAGAGCACTAAATTTAAAAGCTTTCTCAAGAGGAGCAATCAAGTAGATTATTGAGGATCGGAAAGGTAAGAAAGAGATAATTTAGTTAGTTATAATGCTTTTTAAAAAAATTTTGTTAACTATATAATTATCTATTATTTAATAGTTAGCATACCAATTTTTTCTTCTTACCATGATTCTAGCCACATGATACTAGAAAATGTCACTTGCCTGGTTCATCCATTAATTCTTTAAAATAAAATTAATAATTTAGGTCTCAGAACAGTGCTCACAGCATTCTATAGAAACAACATCAGCCTTTTATGTCTAAAACTAGCTTTAAGAACTTAGAAGATTTATGTAGATTTTAAAAAATGTTAATTAATTTCATTAGTTTTACTCCAATGTTAGTAAAATATTCACTTTTATTATACCGTCTAATTGCTTGGAGATTTACCAACTTAAAATATTTATTCCTATGAAATTTTTTTCGAGAAAAACATCTAGTGGTGATTACGAAGGCATTAAATTATCGACGTTTGTTTAATTTTGTCACCACTTTTTCCTTTTTTTTTACTTGTGGGATCCCTGAAACTATCGAAATTATAACGTTTTTGAACTAATAGATATTACACGCCTTCTAACTTTTTCTATTTCTATTATTTTCGAAAAAGTAGTAAAGAGACAATAGGAAATAATGTTATTTTTTTTTTCAGAACCTAGCTACACCAACACATGATTACCATGCTCTTATCTGTTAGTTTAATTTATTTACATAGAAAAGTGGCCAAAATAATTTTGAATTAAAATTTTAAATTCATGATACGAAATAGAAAAAGCATGCATTTTGTTACCTACTACATTAATTATAAAAATATTACCTCAAAAAAATTCGTAAATGCAAGTAACATACCTGCCAACTTTTAATCCTTTCCATTATCATTTTCCCCAGTGGTATTAAAATGGAATTAAAACTTCAATTTTAAGCAAACAAATACGTTGTATTTGAGAAACCTTAAGTTGACAACCATGATAGTAATGCATATTAATATATGTGCTCAATTTTTGTTAGAATAGTGGTGATCAAAATCATTTAAAAATTAAATTTATAAACGAAAAAAAGTATATATTTACTACCACTTTAAATAAAAAAATAAAATCTTCGGGAAAATCCGGAAGAGTTGGCCGGTGTGAAGTAGTTTTAATGATGCTTAAAACATCTACTTGCTCTGGTAGGCCAGTTTTTCCCGAAGTGTGGTACGCGTCCTTATACGAAATATCTTGCAACAAACGAAAATTAAAAAATTTTTATTAAAAACAAAGCTAGCCATGAAAATTTACGATTACGTATTTTACTATTGATAATTTTTTGCAGAGTTAACAGTTACTAATTAGTGGTGTCAACAGCCAGTTGCGATTTTTAACTTTTTTGCAATATTTTTATAGTAAAAAATTACATTAATTTTCTTATCAGTGGTACACAGGGATACGAAAGGGTACACAAAAGTCATAAGTTTGGGAAACACTGTGGTAGGCAAGGCATCTTATTTTAATAAGACTTTCGTAATTTAGTCACCACTTTTTTCTATAAAAAGGAAGTGGCACAAAACTTGAATAAAATAGCTCATAATGAGGGACAAATGCTTGGTGCATTTATACTAGTAAATCGATACATACAGAGATGCCAATTTGCCCCGCTTTGTAAAGAAAATATTTTCAAGTGGTATCGAAATTTAAGTTAATTTTAGTTGAGTATTTTTCATTTTAAGTAATTTTTCCACCACTACATATCAAAAATTAAAAGTAATATATTAAATGCAACTTTATTTTCATGATAACCAGAGATGCCAACTTGCTCCGGACAGCAAATATATATTTTAAAGTGGTAGTTTGTCAAATGTGATTCTTGGTTTAATAAACTAAATTTAGTAGATTTTTATCCACCACTATTTCTAAATAATTCGCAGCCTTATATAATTCACTATTTTAAAGTACTTATTTCATGCTATACCTTTCAAAATGCAATAAAAAATTGTCAAATATTTTCAGAATTTACTTGTAGTTATTTACCGTTTTCTTAATTATTTTGGCGTGTCCGGAGCAGTTGGCATCTCTGGGTAACACTTATATGAAGTAAATGTAATTATCTTTCTTCTTCAAATTTTTACAACTTAATTCGTTACCAATTTAAACTTTTACAGAAAGCGGGGCAGATGGCATTCCTCTATATATCTATATACAGAGATGCCAAATTGCTCCCGACAGTAAATATATAATTTAAAGTGGTAGTTTAACTATGGTGATTCTTGGTTTAATAGATTCAATTTAGTAGATTTTTATTTACCACTATTTCTAACGTAGGCCTATATAATTCCCCTCTTTATAGTACTCATGTCATGCAATACCTTTTAAATTGCAACCAAAAATAGTTTCAAAATTTACTTGGTAGTTATTTACCGTTTTTTTATATTTATTTTTGCGTGTCCGGAGCAGTTGGCATCTCTGTATATATTACTGTAATTAAATGCAAGTAAGTTTTAAGCCATAGTTATGCTTTTGCTATTATGTATTTATCTCAAAAATTTTATTTTGACTTAAATAGATTTTTTCTTAAATGTGTATAACGTATTTAACTCCCACAGCAAATATTAGAGTTTATGATTGACATTCGAATTTTCTATATTGATCATCAAAATGGAATCTCATGATTGAGAGACGGAAAAGTGTTTGTCTGAGGGTGAAAATAGAAAAAGAAGAAAGAAAAAGTGGAAAGAAAGGGAGAGGGAAGGTGAAACAAAAGAAGATGACCCCGATCTCGAATCAATCTAGATCTCTGGGATAAAGCGGCTTTATATATAGGCTATACAACACTTTAATATCTCTTTTTCTCTGTATACATTTCGAATCTCCTTCTCTCTTCAAACAAGTCTTTCAAATCAAGGAATAATATTTTGTGTGCTTTATCAATTGATGGTGTTTTTATTTGGAATCTACTGAAAGGTAAGAGTATTTTCATAGCAGTTCCCCAATGAATTTATCTTGAGGGAGTCTATAGACATTAAAAAACTTGGAATGTTTTCGAAATATTTCGTTTTATTATTTAAATTATAAAATTAAAATATAAAATTTAATTTTTTCTTCATATTTTTATCAATGAAAATTTTTTTAAAGATACTCTAATAATAATGCAAACAATTTTATGTTTATTTGATCTACGCATAGGATTTACCCTATACATTTTTTTTGTCGAATTTTGTTTTTATTATTTTGCTGGTAGCTTAAAGAAATGCTTAAAATGTAAACTTACAAAATATTACAAATATATGCTAGCATTGTTCGATAAAAAAGTATTGCTCTTCTTTTATGAGGTTTAAATATGCCATGGTCTTTCCCTCAACAAATAATTAATCCGGCTATGCAAACTGCCACCCTCATTTTGGAAAGCGCCAGACTGATTTGAAAAGTTTCCAGCATTTTCTAATCGAAGTAACTTCTTAGGCTTGTTACATGAAACCACTTGCTTGATTAGTTCTTTCATTGCCCCGTTAGTCTGATTTATTTCAGACGGTTTGCAAAAAGCTCAGCTTAGGGAATGCTTATTGCAAATAGCTTTATAAAAGGTTCATTGCAAAAGAATAAGTAATTTTTTGTATATAGTCTAATTTGTCTGAAGTAATTTTTTAATTGTAATTCTTTGTAATTATGATAAACCTGAATCGAAAAATCTGAAGATTTTTCCGATTAACAATTACAAAATGGCGGTGACAATTGCAAAGAGTATGAATTTTCTACCAGGTAGCAGAAAATGCACCAAAAAATAAAATTCTTAGAAAAATAGCAATTTTTTCTTCCTTCGTCAAATAAAGTTAAAAGAAAAGTGAAACTACAGCGTTCTAGCGGTCTTTGAAAACTATTAGTAGTGGTAATAAATTAAGGATAATGCTAAAAGATATTTCTTATTTAAATGTACGACTTTAATTATCGTTAAGTGGTTCAGAAGCTGCTAGTCCTAGTGTTTTGATTTTATTGGGCACCTGGGTCGCGAAGCGACCCCTATCCCATTCATCTGGAATTTTAACACTGTTTGGGTTAAGCATTGAGGTAAGCAGGAAGTGGAGTTGCTTTTATGAATGTTTCAAGCACTTTGCTTGAATAACTAAAAAGGAATCAAAAAATAAAATGAGTAGCTTGCTCTATAATTGTGTTTGTTTGATTTTGGAGTTGTTAAGAATTGTATCAGCATGAGGAAACGTTATTTTCAGAAAGGTTGATGAAATTATTTGTTTTGATAGTTATGATCTGAGGCGTCGGAGGTGAAATGTGCAGCTATTGGTCTGTAGTTTTTATCTTTGATGTAATTTTCAAATTTAAAGATTTCATTAAAATTTGCTATTTTACATTCTATGGCTTTATCGAAAAAATCTGCATTTAGCTTGTGATAGATTTGGTATTTTGAGGTCTGTATGTATATTGGTATTCCGGATGAACCATCTTGCACAGGTTATTTTTCTAAGGATCTTGTTTTGGCATTGGTTTAATTTCTTCAGTAGATGTTGAGGTATCGTTGTCCAGGCAGGTGATGCATAGGTAAGGTTCAGAAGCTAGAATTTTCCTGTCTGTTTATTTTCTTGGGGAAAATTTTTTTAGTGGTGGTGACACAGAAATTTAAAATTTCGAAATACTTTTAATTTTGGTTACCACTTTTTAAAATTAAGGTCTGTGGGAGCCTTGTATAAGCATTTGAGACTCATCATTTCTTATTATATAAATAATTTTTTTTAATGTTGGTATACAACTCCAGAATAATAATAAAAATGCATGCTCGTTTTAAGAGATTTTCCTAAGAATTTTTAAGAGAATTTTTGTTTTTGAACTAAATAAAGGATTCTTTATCACATTAAAAAGTTAATAATAACTTCAAAATCCAGCTTTTTATTTAAATTTATTTTGGCTAATGCCAGCCTGAAAATAATTGTTAAACTATTTAAAAATTGTTAAAAAATACAGACCTGTAAGTATTTTCCAAATGTTAGCGAAAGACTAGTTGTAGATAAAATTAACTGTTCACAATTTAATTTAATAGAAATGCAAAATTGTGCGCGTCATTTGCCCGGTATGACCTACAATAATATTTTTTTTGCAAAAGGGTCAATGCTCGATTAATTCCTACACTAATATTTATTCAAAGTTAATATTCACTGTCTGAAGTTCTCTACTCTGTTTTATAAAAATTAGGTGCCATTTCCCGAATTCCTTAGTCTCATAATTCTAAAGGTTAAGTGCCATTGATCGGTATTCCATACACTAAGTTGGTTCAAAGTTAAGTGAAAATCGTCTGTCACTTCGTGCACTGTTGTTGTTCTTAAGATGCACTATTCGGGTATTGTTATGATAACCATCGATTATTAATAGTAACCAATCAAATTAAATTTCTGTTTCATTAAATGTATATTTATTAATGAAAGCAAATGCAATATCCATTAGTCTTAGAGTTAATAAAAAATAATGCATGCTATGTCAATTATGGCTGCCTTACGACCCTACACTTAGAACGGAACAAGTAGGTAACCTTTTCACCCACACCACCTTAAATGGATAAATTTTCCATTCTGCCTCCAAATTGGAACGCCTCAATACGTCTAGGACGTATTGAGGCGTTCCCAGTTTCCGTTAAGGAAAATATTATTCAAGTAAAACTTAGTAAATTGCCATTGCTGTTAGGTGAAATATGAAAATATGTATTGAAAACGGGGATTGATATTTGAAATAAAGTGGTCCTATATTTGCGCGTCATTCTATGGAATACAACAGACTAATTCTGAGATGTATCTGTTACTGATTATGTAGGAAATACCGGTATTGATTACGGCAACTCTTAACGGAAAGTATGTAATATGAAGAAAAAAATTACGCATTACCTAAGCATTGTATATTAGGACAAATGCAGTTAGACATATTTTGTTTGAATGATTCGCCTAATGTAAAGCACAGAGAAAACAAAGATCATTTCTTGTCAGCAATTTTTTGTACTATAGAGGTTTCTAAATTTTACGTCAAACGGCTAATTTAAAAGAGGTAGTTAAACTTCAATGTGTGAGGAATATGAAGTTCAGTATTTCATAGATTTTAAAATATGTTTTAATTATCAGTGGAGACTGAGAGTAATTAGTATAAGATTAGGAAATAAATAAATGAAAATGAAAGGAATACTGGGCAATGAGAGTAAACAGAAAAAAGCGTAAAAAAAATACCGGGGAATGACCGTTAGACTTAAAAAGGAGCTTAAGTGTAATTATTAGCGGACAATTTTGCTCAAAACATAAAAAAGAAACAAATGTAGAAAATACGGGGAAATGACCCTTCACCTTAAAAATAGCATCAGTGTAGGGAATACCGGGCAATATTCGGCATATTAGTGCCTTACTATTATCTCGCTAAACTTGCTTATTATTAGTATTTCATATTGATTATTAAAAAAATTATTCCTTTTTTTTATTGAAAAGTTGAATATGCCTGATGCACGAATACCTTCAAATAAACTACTGAATCATAATCATACTTATTAGAAGTATGAAATAATTATATTTAATAATCTGCCAGTAGTGTATAAATGTATTATGGATATTTTAAAATAAGAAAATCGAACTTGTGATCGAAAAAAGACAAAAATAATCTATAGAAAAATCACTTATTGATAGAAATTGAGACTGTTTTTTATTATTGTTTTAAATCATGTTACATAGTAATCAAATCATACTACATAGTCAGAGATGCCAACTGCTCTGGACAAGACAAAATAATTAAAAAAGCGGTAAATAACTACTAAGTAAATTTTGCAAATATTTGACTATTTTTGCTTGCTTTTCAAAAGGTATAGCATGACTTAAGTACAATAAAGTGGTGAATTATATAAGAATACGAATTATTTTGAAATAGTGGTGGATAAAAATCTACTATATTGAATTTATTAAACCAAGAATCACAATTGATAAACTACCACTTTAAAATATGTATCTGCTGTCCGGAGCAAGTTGGCATCTCTGCATAGTTATCAAATCATGTTAAATGGTTATCAAGCTGAAAAATCTCCACATTTGTTTGATTTTAAATGGCAGCAAAATAATAATTAATGTGAACTAAATGAGTTCAACTGTTCTCTCACTTAAAAACTCATCCTTATCAACAGTAATAATCTAAACAAAACATATTAACACTTATATATGCAGAACACAGAAGTAAATGAAAGAAAATTTATATATCTGGCAAAAAAATAAATAAAAATGGAAAATATCAATGCCGCTATGGTTGTTTAGAGCAGCGGTTCCCAATTCTTTTCGACTATGGATCCTTAAATGATTGCGGCGCTTTTGGCGGAACCCCGACTTCTTCAATGAAATTTGTCAAAAATTATGTTCAGAAAAACCATTAGAGAGACTGCTGTAAGTTTGCAATTATTTAACGTATAGAATGGAGCCATGGTGGCGTAGGGCATACCTGCCAACTTTTAATCCTTTCCATTATAATTTTTCCCAGTGGTATCAAAATGGGATTAAATCTTCTATTTTAAGCAAACAAATACGTTGTATTTGAGAAAGCTTAAGTTGACAACCATGATAGTAACGCATATTTATATATGTGCTTAATTTTTGTAAGAATAGTGGTGATCAACATCATTTAAAAATTAAGATTATAAAAGAAAAAATAGTATATAATTACTACCACTTTAAATATGAAAATAAAATCTTCCGGAAAATCCAGAAGAGTTGACAGGTATGGCGTAGGGGATAGAGCGTTCGCCTTCCAATGACAGACCTGCCAACTTTTAATCCCTTCTATTATCATTTTTCCCAGTGGTATTAAAATGGAATTAAAACTTCAATTTTAAGCAAACAAATACGTTGCAATTGAATAAACTTTAGTTGACAACCATGATAGTAACGCATATTAATATATAAGCTTAATTTTTGTAAGAATAATGGTGATCAAAATCATTTAAAAAT